CACACTGTCTGTTGTGTTGAGATTAGTGAAGTGGGACAACAGGGAAATCAGTTACAAAAAGCAATAATCCAGGCAAAAAAAAATGATGGTGGCTTGGAACAGGGTAGTAGCTAGCTGTTGATTTGCAGTCCTCTTGGGAATTTCCCTGGTAACATCTGAAACTGGCATTTGTATTCAGAGGGCAAGGAGAAACAAAGAAAGAAGCAGGCCACTCCACGTTTGTAGGTGAAAGTTTAAGTAAATGGAACTTAAATTCAATGAGGCTTGTTTTGGGGGGCAGCAAGACAAATGGATCTCTGCACCTGCCCACCAGATCTTAAAACTTTATATAAGAAGCCTTAACTGGATGCAGCCACGTATCTTATACAGGTGTTTTCAGTATCCCATCACTGTCTCAAGACTGTTCTTGGAGCAGCCTCTGAAAGCAGGAAAGGCAAGTAGAATCTATATTCCAAAAGGAGGGAATGAGGAGCCTTTGAGTCCCTAGGTCCGACTCATGGGTCATTTGGCAGTAAACATCTTTTTGATGGTGTTCCCCAATAATAGCAATGCAGATGGCAAGGAATGGTTGAATTCTGGATGGACTGGCAGAATTTTCTTAAACATTGGATATAGAGTGTCAGAAAAAAAAAAGGGTAAAAAGATGATGCCCAATATTTTTGGTCTAAACAACTGGAATTACGGAATTGTCATTAGTTTAAACAGGGGAAACTAAAGGAGCAGCAGGTTTGCAGGGAAGGGATTCAAGAGTTTGGGCCAACATGTGAAGTTTGATACGATTTCTAGATATCCAACTGAACTTATTGAGTAGGCAGTTTAGTATATGAGTCCCAGTTCAAGGGAGTAAGCCAGATGGAGGCATAAATTTAGGAGTTGTCAGGCTATAGATTATATTTAAGCTATGAAACCAGTAGAAATCATCTAGAATGTGAGCACAGAGAAGAGGAGAGATTGAACCCTGGGGCATTCCAACCTTTAGAAGTGGTGGAAAGGAGTAAGACTCAGCAGAAGAGATAGAGAAGGAATGTTCAGTAAGGTAGAGTCTATTCATGAGAATTAGGGGAGAGGGATTGGAGTTTTGTTATGGAGTGGAGCAAAGGAAACAGGGCAGTAGCTGGAAGGACAGGTTGGAGTCAAGAAAGAGAAGGTGCTTTGTTTTGTTTGTTGTCATTAGTGGAGAAATAGCTTTCTGTTTAACGGTAGCTAATAAGCTAAAATGGACTTAGGAAAAGGAAGGGACATTTGGTAGAGTAATATCCATGGATAGATGAGAGAAGATGCATAAAGAGAGGGATTACTTTAGATAGGAAGACAGAATATGAGTACAAATGAAATTAAGTGGCAGATGAGATGTGAGCATATGGACTTGCTTGTCTGATTACTTCTATTTTCCCTGAAAAGAAAATAAAACAAAATAGCTGAGACAGAGAAGAGGGCTGAAAAGGAAGGAACTTCATACCACCCCCATGTAGGTATTTCTAAAAGGAGATTAATTTTACAGTTACTCTGTGTGCCACACATACTATGAGGCAAGTACTGTTATCCCTATTGTTATGATGTAAACCGATACTTAGAAAGTTTAAGGAGCTTTCCCAAAGTCTCATAGCTTTTCAGTGGTGGCAGAGGTGAGACATAAACTTCAGTATGCACAAATGAGAATTTGTAGTAAATATAACTTGGAAAATATATATTCAGATTTTTTTCAAACAAAATAAACTAAAGTGAACTTTAGGGGTAGAATAGAGAAACACAGTTGAAAGCAAAAGAAATAATAAAGGATCTCTAAAATAGTCTATCATTTGGAAATGTTTCCATCTCTCCATAGCTTTATAGAAATATAGCTGTTACGTTTCTATGTGAAAAGGGTTGCTGAAAGATCACTTTTCAGCTTGTTTCTCTATGTTTAATTAAAAAAATATTTCTAGTGAGATAAAAATGTTTAAATATGATTACTCTCAGGATTAAATGATGGATTTTTTTTTTAATTTGCTATTGTCTGTATAAATCAAAAATAGTAAGTACTGTTTCCTAGAATTTCTTGGTTAACATTTCAAAACAATTTTTTTGAGTATAGGTGGCACATAATGTTATAGTTTCAGTTGTACAACATAGTGATAGGATAAGTTTATTCATAATGCTGTGCTCCCCTGAAGTGTAGCTACCATCTGTCACCATACAACACAATTGCAACAGCATTGACTGTATTCATTACAGTATACCTTTTACTCTTGTGACTTACTTATTACCAAACTGGAAGCTTGTATCTCCAACTTCCTTCACGCATTTTTTCCATCCCACGCACCCCTTCCCCCTCTGGCAGCTGTCAGTTTATTTGCTGTATTTGTAAAGTCAGACTCTGCTTGTTTTTGTTGTATGTTTATTCAGTTGGGTTTCTTTTTTAGATTTTATAATGAGTGAAATCATATGGTATTTGTCTTTCTCTGACTTATTTCACTTAGGACAATAACCTCTGGATCTATCCATGCTGTTGCAATGGCATGATCTCATCCTTTCTGAAGGCTGCATAAAATTCTGTGTGTGTGTGTGTGTGTGTGTGTGTGTGTGTGTGCGCGCGCGCGCGCGTGTTAGAGAGGTACCATATCTCCCTTATCCATTTCTCTATTTATGGACACTTATGTTGCTTCCAAATCTTGGCTATTATAAATAATGCTGCAGTGAACAGAGGGGTGCATATATCCTTTAGAATTAATGTTTTTCTTTGGGTAAATACGCAGTAGCGGAACTACCAGATCATATGGTATTTCTACTTTTTACTTTTTTTGTAAAACCTCCATACTGTTTTCCACAGTGGCTTTACCAATTTACATTCCTACTGACAGTGTACAAGGTTCATTTTTTTCCACATCCTTGCCAACATATATGTTGGCAACATATGTTACTTCTTTTTGATTTTTGCCATTCTGACAGTATAAGGTGCTATCTCATTGTAGTTTTGATTTGTATTTCTCTGATGATGCGAGCATCTTTTCATCTGTCTATTGGCCATCTGTATGTCTTCTTTGGAAACATGTCTGTTCAGGTCCTCTGCACATTAATCAGATTGTTTGCTTTTTGGTATTGAGTTGTTAAGTTCCCTATATATTTTGGTTAGTAGTCCTTTACTGGATATATCATTTGCAAATACCTTTTTCCATTCAGCCTTTTTGTTTTGTTGATGGTTTCTTTCGCTGTGCAGAAGCTTTTTATATTTTTATAGTACCAGTAGTTTATTTTTGCTTTTGTTTCCCTTGTTCTAAAACGGAGACAAATCTAGAAAAAATGTTGCCATGCCAGTGTTAGAAAAATTACATCCTCTATTCTAAGATTTTTGTAGTTTCAGGTCTCACATTTAGGTCTTTAACTATTTGGGGTTTATTTTGGTGTATGGTGTTAGAAGACAGTCCAGTTTCATTCTTTTACATGTAAAAGTTTTCCAAGCACCATTTATTGAAGAGACTTTTTCCCATTGTTGCCTTTTATGTTGTAAATTAATTGACCATATAACTGTGGGTTTATTTCTGGGGGTCTTCATTCTGTTCCTTGATCTGTGTGTCTGGTTTTGTTTAAATAACATACTGTTTTGATTACTTCAGTTCTGTAGTGTATCTAGAAGTCTGGAATTGTGATACCTACAGCTTTTATTTTGTTGCTCAAAATTGCTTGGGCCATTCAGGGACTTTTGTAATTCCATACAAATTTTAGTATTATTTTCCTCTAGTTTTGTGAAAAATGCTTTTAGTATTTTGATAGTGATTGCACTGAATCTGTAGATTGCTTTGGGCAGTATGAATATTTAACAATATTAATTCTTCCAGTCAGTGAGCATGGAATATCTTTCCATTTGTGTCATCTTTAATTTCTTTCATTGGTCTTCTATAGTTTTCAGAGTACAGGTCTTTCACCTCTTTGTTTGAGTTTATTCCTGGGAATTTCATTCTTTTTGGTACAATTATAAATGGAATTGTATTCTTAATTCCTCTTTCTGCTACTTTGTTATTAGTGTATAGAGATAGTACCAATTTCTGGATATTAATTTTTGTATCCTGCAACTTTACTGAATTCATCTATTACTTCTAGGAGTTTTTTTATGGAGTGTTTAGAATTTGATTAACTTTTTTAAATGGACTTTTTCACTATATTATAATCAGTAATTATAAAACTATTTCAAATCTATTTCTGTTCGTGCAGCTAGAAGAAAATTACCTTTCTCTCATTTAATAGGTCTTTCAGCAGCCTTTAGAAAGACAGATTGGTGATATGTTTGAACACTCTATTCTGAAATTGTATATATAATCTTTTTCAGTTTCCGATGCCTATACATTCCCTGGGTTTTCTCTTTAAAGATAAATATTGGCAAGATAGAACTAAGCATCTTAGATGCACTTTTTTTCTTTGAAATTTTTATTTAAATCCTAGTTAGTTAACATGCAGTGCAATATTGGTTTCAGGAATAGATTTCAGTGGTTCATCACTTACATGTAACACCCAGTGCTCATCATAACAAGTGCCCTCCTTAATGCCTATCACCCATCTTAGCCCATTCTCTATCCACCTTCCGACATCAACCCTTAGTTTGTTCTCTATCATTAAGAGCCTTTTATGGTTTGTTTCTCTCTCTTACTTTTTTTCCCCTACCCTATGTTCATCTATTTCATTTCTTAAATCCCACATATGAGTGAAATCTTAATGGTATTTGTCTTTCTCTGACTGACTTATCTCAGTTATCATAATACACTCTAGCTCCATCCATGTTGTTGCAAATGGCAAGATTTCATTCTTTTTGATGGCTGAGTAATATTCCATGGTATATATATACCATATCTTCTTTATCCATTCATTAGTCAATGGATATTTGGGCCCATAGTTCAGCTGTTGTTGATAATGTAACTTTTAGTGACTTAATTGAAAGTATTTCAAGATATTGTTTAAAATAATAAAAGTTAGTTTAGCTTCCAAGAGTCTAATACATATGTAATGTTTTGTTGGGCATTTTATTTCAGGAGCCGCCTAAAGAAAGACTATGATGATTTCAGAAGACAGCCTGATCATGATAAATTTACTAGAGAACTGTGGACTACTGAAGAAGGTGAAGGAGATCCTGGAAAAGAATCTCCTAAAGTAGAAATTAGTAAGTCTGTAGACTCCACAGAACCTCTAGATATCCTGGAGAAAGATCACTTTGATTCAGGTAGTTATGAAAACTTTCCTTTAAATCAACAACTAAAACCATAAAGAAAGTTTTAGTATCTTTTGTTGAGGTAAAAGATAATCTGGTTAATGGTAGGTACTGGTTAGGGAAATCTGGTATATTTTGAAATGTCCTGTGTCCTTATAAAAGGTCCCTTGGAGTCATTATTTTAGTTCTAGGAGTATCTGGAGCCAGTGCCTGCCTCTGAGCTGTAGGCATGTTTTTGCACATTATAGACCACACATCTTTGATCTACAATCCCTCTAAATTAAGTTCATCCTCTTCTTTTTATTACTATTTTTGAAGCACTGTTTTTGGTGTTTGATTTAAATGGAACTTGATAAGTTCCTAATACTGTGAAGATTTTTTTATGAGAAATGACCAAGGTTGATGGCCAAATAAACCTCAGATTGAACATACCATTCTAATAAGGAGGCTGGATTAGGTTATCTGTAATGCATTTCAATTTATCAGATTATGTTATTCTGTAAATGTAGTTATCTTTTTCTGCAAATCTAGTTTTAAAAACTTCCTTTCATTATATAAGAGATAAGTGTGAAAATTTGTGGTTAGAAATGTATTAGCCTGCTTTTCATGTCTTTGGTGCATTGAAAAAGAGTAGCTTCTCATCCACCCAGTTTCACCAGATATGAACATAAATTTTTTACAGTAAGAATGAATAATTAAACACCAGGAAAAGCTGAACATTTTTCATCCTTTTGAGTCTCTGAAACTAAAATTAGAATTCTGGGCTCTAATTGCTGATTTGAGTATCTGTGAGATGTAAAATTTCCTCTGCATTTGTATGGGCAGCAGAATTAGTAGAGTTTGAACAAAATAATCCATTCATTAATACATAGTTCTTGGGAATGGTTACGCTATCAAAAAAAACCTGAATTTCTAATATTGAATCATCCTAAAGTAGACTTCTTAATAAATTGCCAGTTCAGAGATTGACTTGCTTTTTTTATGATTGATCTTATTATTTCTATTCAGTTGCTGTTTTATTTAAACAAAATGCTTGCTTTTATAACTTTCAGATGATATGAAACTGTCAGAAATAGATTTTCCTATGGCCAGAAGCAAGTTGTTGAAAAAGGAATTGCCTTTTAAAGATGTTCCGAAGATACTGCCTAAAACACTTAAACGACAGTCTAAACAAACCAATTATCTGGATGATAGCACAAAAGAGCTTTCCCCAAGAAAGAAAGCAAAGTTAAGCACAAATGAGACAACAGTTGAGCTTGTAGAAGGTGAGATGCAAATTGACTGTTTGAATGAATTAAAGCATGCAGAGCCACTGTTTCCAGAGTCATTTGCCTCAATGGATTCAACACCAGTATCTGTTCTCCAGAAAGGGACCAAACCTATTCAGGCCTTGCTTGCAAAGAATATTGGGAACAAAGTGACCTTAACAAATCAACTGCCCCCTTCCACAGGTAGAAGTGCTCCTACAGTGGATAAACCAGTTATATCTCCTCTAGAAGCCAGCCCCATAAAGCCAGCATTGACCTGCCACACCAGTACAAAAGGTCCTTTACAAATGGTATACAAAATGCCTTGTGGCCAGTGGTTGCCCATAGATCTCCAAAACAGCTCTGTGAAGATTCAGATGCAACCTGTGCTAGATCCTAAAACAGGAGAAAAAATCATGCAGCAGGTTCTCATTCTGCCCAAGAATGTTGTGATTCAGCACAAGGAAGGGAAAGCAGTTGCAAAAGAAATACTGCCACTTCAACAGAAAGGTACAGAACATCATTGTTCATCTTTCCCACAGACAGCAAATGTAAACTGTTCTTTACCATCAGTTCTTGTCAGCTCAGCAGGAACTGTTTCTAACCAACTAACTAATATAGTTTTCAATAGGACAGTTACACCTTTGTCAAATGTAAGTAGTGGTAGGCCACAGCCTTTGTCACCTGTAACCTCCATAAGTAGTTTATTAATACCTCCAGTTAAGACTAGCCAGAGTGAGTCAGGAAAAGTCAAGAATGCAGTTTCAGCAGCTACATTCTCCCAGCCCATTGCTTCATCCACCATCTCTTCAACAGTTCAGCCTCTGTTACCAGCAACAACACTAGGTGGATCTACAAATCCTGGTAGTTCCCTCAACTGTTTTGCACAACAAACTGCTGATTCTTCTGAAGCAAAGCAAGAACTGAAAACTGTGTGTATAAGAGATTCACAGTCAATTCTTGTTAGGACACGAGGTGGGAACACTGGAGTTGTAAAAGTACAGACCAGTCCAGATCAAAATTCACCCAACAGCTTATCTGCAAGTTCAGTTTTCACTTTTGCTCCTCATCTTCAGGCATTTCTGGTGCCCAAATCAACATCATCCTCTGTTTTTTCACCTGCAGTTGGAATGACTACTACATCTAGTCTCCCACCTTTTAGCCAAACACCAACTTCTGTTTCCATTCCATCTGGCTTTAATCCATCAGTGGGAAAGAATCTCAAGCTTACATTAGGCCAACCTTCCTGCAGTGGTAATTTGGGTCACGTGATAGATAAAGCTTCACACATGCCTTCTTCTCCCTTAAAGTCCTCTGTTTCTTCTGGTACTCTACTGCCATCAACAGCAAATAATTCAGTAAGTGTAATTAGCATATCAACAGGAAATTTTGGACAAACCAGTGCAAATGTTATTCATACTCCAAGTAAACAGCAACAAGTAGATTATTTCACAAAAAGTTTCCCTATTACAAGATCAGAAGCAACAGCAGCAACAAGTGGAGATGTCATCAGTGGGAGTGCAGTTCACAAACTTATGCTGGTGTCAGCTCCCTCTATTCTTTCTTCTGGCAGTGGAACTGCAATTAATGTGACACCTGCATCAACATCTACAGTTGTCTCAGCCCAGAAATTAGTTTTTATTAATGCTCCAATTCCCAGTGGCACTTCAACTCCAACTATTGTGGCAGAACCATTAAAACAAACTCTTCCTCCCCCCTTGAATAAAACCTATGTTAAGACTCCAGAACAACCCCAGTTAGTACTAATTCCATCTACAGTGGGAGCACCATTAAAAATAAATTCATCACCAACTGTGTCTCAGATAAAAGATGTGAAAATTGGACTTAACATAGGTCAAGCAATTGTAAACAGTTCAGGCAGTGTGCCAGCTATACCATCAATTAACTTATTGCAAAATGTAACCCCAAAAGGAGAAGAAAAAAGTACCAAGGGCTATGTCTTGCCATTGTCAACAAGTGGTAATTCAATTCCAGTAAACTCAAATTTTGTGAGTCAAAATATTACTCCTGTTAATGAATCAGTGGTTTCTGCAACAAGAGCAGTAAACATGTTTTCAGTAACAGGAGCAAATGTGTCTTTGGGTTCTCTTTCGGTGACCTCAACCTCTGCTTCGGTTGGGACACGACCTCCTGTTTTAGTTAGTGGAAATGATACCTCTTCAAGAATTATGCCTATTTTGTCAAACAGACTTTGCACATCAAATCTCGGAAACACTGTGGCTATATCAACTGTGAAAACAGGACATCTTGCATCATCTGTTCTGATTTCAACTACACAACCAGTGTCTCCTAAATGTTTAACATCGGCTTTGCAAATCCCTGTTACTGTTGCTTTGCCTACACCTGTGAATATATCCCCTAAAATAATCAACACAGTTCCACAAGTGGCAACAGTACCAGGAGCCACACGTTCTATATCTCTTTCTAAAAGACAATCTCGGACTTCTGTCCAGTTTCAGTCACCAGGGATTTCAGCTACAGTGCCAACAAATATAAACACAAATAAACCTCAGACTGAATTGCCACCCCTTTCACCAAGTCCAGGTAAAATAATTAATATTTCCAGTTTTGCTTCTCTGCCAAACCAGCAGATGTCCCCTGCTTTAGTCAAATCAACCCCCAGTCACAGTTCCGCTCCAGGTGGGTCTGTCATTCACACCGCTACAGCACCATCAAATGTAAATAGTGTGATAGGGGGTCAGTTGAGTGAACCTTGTATTCAGCAAAAAATAGTCATCAACACCAGTACACCTTTGGCACCTGGCACTCAGATCATGATTAATGGAACGCGGTTTGTTGTTCCACCACAAGGTCTTGGAGCTGGCAGCCATGTTCTTCTTATATCTAGTAATCCAAAATATGGACCTCCCTTAGTTCTTAACAGTGGCCAAGGCCTCCCACCTACATCAGTAGATAACCCTGCCCAGAAAATTACACTAGTATCAAATAATTCTTCAGGTGGGCACCCTGTGAAATATTCTCTAAGAAGCTCTACAAAAATTGTCAACTCTCTTGGGAATGCCAGTCCTCTACCCACAGTACATACAACACCACAGATCATAAACACAACTGCTAAAGTTTCTGTTCCACCTCCCACACCAACAGTATCATTGACTTCAGTAATTAAGTCTCCTTCTGCTACTCTTTTGGCTAAGACATCTTTGGTTTCTGCCATTTGCTCTACTAATCCTCCATTGCCAAGTAGCACATCAGTATTTCATTTGGACACATCAGTCAAAAAATTGTTGGTTAGCCCGGAAGGAGCCATTTTGAATACCATAAATACTCCAGCATCTAAGGTTTCTTCTCTCTCTCCATCTCTCTCTCAAATTGTTGTATCTGCTAGTCGAAATCCTGCCTCTGTCTTCCCTGCTTTTCACTCATCTGACTTAGAGAAGCCCGACACAGCTGCATCTTGAATCTAGACTTAACGAGCCAGGTTTTAAATAATGGGGCATTGTTTTGACTCCCATAAAAATTTTTAACTTTATTACACTGTTGAAAACATACTATACATAGTTGTGTGTATGTGTTTTAATGTATCTTTTCATTAGCTTGCAACAAGGCTTTGTTTTCTTGGGGAAGAAAAGATCTATTCCATTTCACTTACTGATATGAATATGTTTTCAAAGGATGTTTAAAATAGACAAGATTTACCCTGTCTATATTGCATAAATTGAACCAAGTCAAGTTTTACTAGTTTGGAGTAAGCTAGCCTTTTGCACACTTGCATTGACATGTTTCTTCTTGAATTTGGACTATTGCACCGTGTATTTACAATGTGATATTCTGTGTCATTAGTGAAATCTTGTTTTTGTTTCTGTAAAAAAAATATAAATATATATATATATATATATATATACACACACACACACACACATATATATATATATATGCATTGTGAAAATGCAGTCCATGGTGTAAAATTGTACATACTCCGAAATCCCTAACAACCTGTACTAAACTATATGTACAAAGAACTATGCTGTCTTATTTATGTTTTGTTTACATAATGTATAGTTTTTTAAGTATTTTAGTAATTTTGGACCAGTGAACTGTTAGCAACAATGCAGAAGAATCTGCATGTAATAAATTGAGTTGCTGTATTTCTTTGTTTGAATACCATTTTTAAAGTGCGCTCTTATTCCACTGTAAGAATACATTATGTAAAATGAAACAGCCCTTTACAAAAAGGAATTAAGGCTGGGAAATTTGAATTAATGGCTAGCACTTGTACAAGGTTTTACAGTTTACAAACTTTACTCGACATATCTTATTTATTTTTCACAGTACTCTTGAAAGGTTAAGGGTGTTGTCCAAGGTCACCTAGCTAGTGGGTGGTAGACCTGAACTAGGAGACCTGATGCTTTAAATCCTTTTCCATGATTGTACATTACTTCTGTTGTAAAAATTCACTCTGAATTTCATTGCTTTTTTTCTCTCATTTTACCACCAAATTCTCCATTGACCAAAACAAGTAATCTTTCAGACCAATGTGTTTGGTCTATGTTAATGCACCCCAGATATGTTTTACTAACTTTTAATTTTTAAAAAGTCTTAGATCCGCAAGAAGTTGTGATGGTAGTATGAAGAGGTCCCATGTACCCTTTAAGTTTCCATCTGATATATCTAGTTTTATACTGAGGTGTTTGTTCATAGTTGACTGATTTTCCAAAATGATAAAAGATGAATTTTCCCTTTTTTAATTTAGAATAACAATTTAGAATAACAATAATTTAGAATAACAAATTCCCTTTTTTAATTTAGAATAACAATTTGTTATTCTAAATTATAATCTTCAATTATAATTATTTTTTGCTTTTGTTGTTATGTTTTGTTTTTCCAATTACAGAGCAGTTATTTATATTCTATTGTAAAGCAAACAGTTTTTATGGGTCAGCTTATTCTCAGGGTTTGACTTTGTGGTATTTCAGATTATGCCTCATTTTAAATAAAAGATAGATTTTATCATCACAATGAACACTGAGTAGTGTATAGAATTGTTAAAATCACTATATTGTGCACCTGAAACTAATATAACACTGTATGTAAACTATACTACAATTAGAAATTAAAAAAAAAAAAGGCAGGCACAACATGGGGAATACACACACAATGTGTAACTGGTTAGTTATAAATATTTAAAAAACAAAAGACAAAGCAAGAAGATAGATTTTATATTTAAAAGCCTAAAAAAATTTTCTATTTATTGAATCTTTATATCCATTATCTTATTTGGGATACTGATTGTATATTCATCCATGTTACATTTATAATGATGTTAAAACTCATCACATGATGCCTGGGCTTGAGAATGTTCGGGAAGAATGGACCTAACGACTTCCTTTGAAACTACATTGATATTTATTAGTTATCAAAGTGGAGAAGGTAGTGAGGGTGTTCCTGGAAAGTTGTTAAAGGCTCTCAAGAACCTATAGTTACGTTCTAAAACAGTATCTTTGCCAGTCAATGCTCTACTATGTAGTCACCCTCCCTCTTCCCCTGTCCATTTAGGTAGACTTTGGATTTCAAGGGGATGTGGGTGATATTTGGAAATTCATCGCATTGTGCATAGGTGGTGCTCAATAAATTAATGTATTTACATACTCCCCTTTTAAAGCAAAATAGCCTGAAACTATGCATCTTTTGCCTGAAAAGAATTATCTGAGCCTTTTCCAGAAACTAATTTACTGAATTACTTATGGCTCAACTTTAATCCCAGTGAAGGACCTAAACTAATTATTAACCACTAATTCTTTTCTAACTCCTAAATCCAAAATCCTAATATGACCTTTGAAACTCTGCTCTGGTGAACCTTTTAGAGTGAAGCCCTGCCTCCACCTCCCATCCCCTTAGGGCCTAAAAGGCTCTTCAGTCTATTTCTGCTTACTTCACCAGCTTCTTTTCAACCTAATCTTCCCTTGTCTGTTGCACTCTAGTTAATTTCAATAGTAGGTCAAGGTCTTTTTATATGTTCTCTGTGACTTAATGTTTCATTGTAGATCTTATTACGTATGACGTAACTCCCTCTCCTTACCATACTCAGCATCAGGATACCACAGTCACTCATAGATTGAGGACATGGATCAAGAAGGGCGTGGTACTATATTACTATAACAAGATTACTTGTATGCAGTTATTTAATGCCTGTCTTCTTTTTAAAGAGAGACCTTGGGGCGCCTGGGTGGCTCAGTGGGTTAAAGCCTCTGCCTTCAGCTCAGGTCATGATCCCAGGGTCCTGGGATCGAGCCCCGCATCGGGCTCTCTGCTTGGCAGGGAGCCTGCTTCCTCCTCTCTCTCTCTCTGCCTGCCTCTCTGCCTACTTGTAATCTCTGTCTGTCAAATAAATAAATAAAATCTTTAAAAAAAAAAATAAATAAAGAGAGACCTTGACAGTTGTCCTCATTGTCCCCTCAGCAACTGGCACTCGATAGACATGCAATATGTAATTGCTGAATAAATCAGTGAGCAATCTAGATATCTTGCATGATTTAAGGTCCGGTTTACTTTTTGAAAGTAATACTCCATTTTTTTACTAGAAATTTGACTGAATTAATAGATTTATATAATCAAAAGCCAAATTCTTTCTCCTTTGCTTTCAGTCTGGTAGGTCACGTGGATTTCTAGGCTCTTGGCCAAAAAGTACAAAGTCAAATTCCTCAGTTCTTTCTATTCAGTGATACTGATGTGGGAAACAGAGGCAGAAGAAAAGTTATTAAACTTCCTTACCCACTGACAAGCCCTTGCAACAGGGAGAGTGACATTCCTCTAGGGACTCAACTACCTCCACTTTAAGGCTTTGCTAAGGGCAAAGGGCAATCCTAGCCTGATCAACCCCTACCCCCACCCAGGATCCTTAAGTGTACTTTAACAATTCCTTTGGAAACTTTCTTTTTCTCTAAACCCTCCAAGATACATGTTGACAATCATTCCCTAGCATATGGCCCACTGATATACATCTGAAGGGTCTCATAACAAAAGTTTTATTACCAGTAATGAATAACCTTTTTCCCAACAATAGCTAGCTCCTCAAGGTCCTGGACACCTTGCTTCCAAAATTCCTTACTTACACCATCCCTGACTCCCTCCCAACTTGCAAGTATAGAATGGACCACTCCACACAGCCCTGGGACAGCACCTCTTTCTGCCCACAGGTCCTGTGACTAATAAACCACCATTTTGCACCAAAGATGTCTCAAGAATTCTTTCTTGGTCATTGGCTCCAGACCTCACCCCTCCGAACTTCACTTATATTCTAAAACTTCATCATTAAGTATTCTTTAATAGTTGTTTATAAAGGCATTTATGCAGAGGAGAAGTCACTACAGTGCTACTGTAACCCTTCATGGTCCTGGAATAATGTTTTTACACATAAGTATAGAATGAGGACATTGGATGTCTGTATTCAGCATCGTTTTAAATGCTAAGTTAAAACATGCTAAAATAATATCTCTTTCTGATATGTTAGCTCTTTCCTCTCATTTCCTTTATGGTTTTTCCTGAAAGAAAAAAAAATCAATTCTCCTTTGTAGTTAAAAAGATATATATATACTTTTATTTATACACACACACACACATATAAATAAATTCTTTGTAGTTAAAAAATGTATATATATTTTATATATAAAAGTGTGTATATATATACATATATATGTGTGTGTATATATATCTTTAGACCCATTTCCATTTCAAGCCTCCAATTTTCTGGTGCATCTAATAATTAATTGACGTCAGTAGTTTTATAATTAAAGCAGTGATGTCTAAAGCAGTACATGAAGATAAATGAAAATGTTTACTTGACCCAGTATATCACATTAACTTAGTGAATTAAGAAATCTTGAATATTAAAAGCTTGAGAATGTAGCAAATTCTGAAAATGATCTAAGAAATTTGTTGAGGAGTTGTCCAAAATTACACTGTACTATAACAGAGATGATCTACAATTTATCATAAGTCATTCCAAAAGTTGTTTTGCTCTCACCTGAGCCTGAAGCCTCACTGTTGTTCTAATGCTGTCATCTGTCCCAGGTATTTTTACTAATTTATTCAACAAGCATTTATTATGCATGCCACAGTGCTTGGCTTGTTAACAAGTTTATTGAAAAAGCTGAATGAAGGGCATGGCATAGTTCAGGTTCTTATAGTTCAACTTGGGGACAAAGTCTGAGTGTGAGAAAGTACTGTAGTTAAGTAATAAATGAAAAAGTACTGAAGAATCAAATACATGTTTTTATGTGTGTAATCCTCAATATCATTCATAAATTATCAATGTAAATGGAAAATACTGTCAATGTAAGTTTCAGATTTAAAGAGGTGTAAATTCACTCTAAGCATTTGTTGAGAACCATGTAATACAGAAAGTGTAGGAACAACATAGATGAGTAAGATCCCACCCCTATCCTCAACACAAAACACAATAAAAGAATATAACAATAAGTTAAAAGTATATGTCAGAGAAATAAAGAACTCTTAGGAATTCAGCAGTGAGATGATAGAAGTTTCATATAAGAGGTGGCATTTGTGCTGGGACTGAAAGTATATTTAGAACTGGGCTTGCAAGGACTCACTCAGCCTTAGAAAAGCACTGGGAAGTTAACAATACTGTATTGCACATTTAAAAGTTGCTAAGAGTAGATCTTAAAAGTTCTCATTATAAGAAAAATATCAGGGATGGTTAAGTGTCTGCCTTTGGCTCATGATCCCCGGGTCCTGGAATCAAGTCCCACATCAGGCACCTTGCTCAACAGGCAACCTGCTTTTCCCTCTGCCTGCTGCTCCCCCTGCTTGTGCTCTTTCTCTGACAAATAAAATCTTAAAAAAAAAAGTAACTGG